GAAACCACCCAAAAAGACCCCGGAAACAAATGGATACGTGTAGGGCATGCATGCAATAGCCCAGCCTGGTAGTTGGCCAACGGGCCGGCCCGGCCCGGCACGACACGGCCTCGGGCCAAGCACGGCCCGCAGGTGGTCGTGCCGGCACGGCACGTCATGCCTCCCGTGTGCCGGGCCTTCGGCCCAAGCACGGCCCTACGGGGTCTTAAGCATATTACGACGTTCAGTAAACAGTTTACTTAGATCTCTAGTGGTGGTCTGTCTAGATACTTTAACAAACCTAGGGTTATGAGCACGGACAATGTAATCCTCCCAGGCCTCTGTCTCACCAATACCTAACGGCAAATCAAGCCTAGCAATCAAGCGACACAATTCTGATCTAGTAATATCAGGCTTATAGTCCTAGTTATGCACAGAACCATCAGCATTGTAAGCAAGCCTAGACTGAACCCTAGCAGCTTGATCAGTTTTCTGCCTACAAGATTTCTGGTGCCTCTTCAAGTGCCTAGTGTCAGCATTAGATCTAGCAGACAAAGTATGCTTACACATTTTACAGGTAGCTTTAGTGCAGATTTTCCTACCATTCACAGTCTCATAGATCTCATCAAAATCAGCCCACACAGCAGATTTACACTTACCAACAACAGTTCCAGAAGAGGTACCAGTACCAGCAACAGATGGAGTTGAGCTGTTGGAGCAGACCGGGGTCCTAGTCGCCGTCGCCCCTTCACCACCGTCGTCGTCCAGACCGAACAAGGCAGTAGCGTCCTCTTGGGTGTCATCGTCGTCCTCAGGTGCCAAGCCTGCCGCGATGAGATCGTCGTTGCCGGTGAGCGGCCAGACGATCTCGTCATCAGCACCACCATGGCGCCCTCGACCGTGGAGGGCTCTCCAGCACCGTTCCTCAATGGTGCGTGGGGCCACCTTGGTCGCTCTATGCCACAGCTAGAGGACGACGCATCGGCTATCGACCTGCGTAAAGACATGGAGGAGGAGGAAAACAGTATATCAGAATAGATCGGAAACAATTCATCAATGGAAGAAGAGGAGGGTTAGGGTTAGGGTTAGGGATGTACCTGTGCAACCGGAGCCCGGTGCCGGAGAAGACGAGGGCCACCCAGAGAAGACGACAGTAAGGTTAGAAGGACAACGAGCGGCGGAGGAGGGGCACACGGGGACACGAACTCACATAATCACCCAGATCTAGAGGGGAGATAGGGATAGGGAGAAGGGAGAGGCGGAGAGGGAGCAGGGAGGTGATCAGGTAGGAGTAGTAGGGAGCTGCTCGTCGGTGGTAGTCGGGGTTAGGGTTAGGGTTAGGGATGTACCTACACAACCGGAGCCCGGTGCCGGAGAAGACGAGGGCCACCCAGAGAAGACGACACACCGGTTAGAAGGACGGCGAGCGGCGGAGGAGGGGCAGACGGGGACATGAACTCACATAGTCACCGAGATCTAGAGGGGAGATAGGGATAGGGAGAAGGGAGAGGCAGAGAGGGAGCAGGAAGGGGATTAGGTAGGAGGAGTAGGGAGCTGCTCGCCGATGGCAGGCGGATCGTCGAGGTCACCTCACCGGAGTCGGGGAGGACGAAGCCGAGAGCGAGACTATGAGGACGAGACCCGAGAGCGAGGCGAGGCGAGAGCCACGAGATGAGTGAAATAAGCTAGGGTTCGGGTGTGAGCCGCCGGGGCCGCGGGGCCGCGGCGTGCGTTTATATATGAGGAGGGGGAGGCGGATGGATGGATGAGCGGTTTGAGGCTGGCGCGAGAGAGGGAGGGGGAGGAGGAGGAGGGGGGGGGGGCCGGGCCACTGCCAATTGGTGGCCGACGAGCGTCGGGCCGTCTGTGCAAACCACCACGGGCTGGCTCGGCCCCAGCACGGCTGCTTCCCTCGGGCTGGCCAGCCCTAGGCCCGCAGACGTCACCGGCGATGGCTGCGTGCTCATGTCGTGCTAAAAAAACGAGCTTCGTGCCATGCCGTCATGCCTCAGGCTGCATGGACATTTATACACAGCCATAAAAAGCGGCGAGCCAATGCTCGGGTGTCAACAAAATGGCGCATGTGCCATCTCTGGCTGCTTCCGGCTCCGCTTCCAAAATGATCCGCCGCAGCTTGGCCTCGCATATGACGACGATGATGGTCTCCTCTTCTCGATTTGCAGCTCCGGCTTGGGAGCCACCTCCTGTCGGCTCACACGTAGCACGTGCCTTAGCCCGTGCTCGCTCTCCCCTAGATGCTTCACATGCGCCAATCAATGTGAGCCCATCGTGTCAGATGGTACTTGTACGTATGGAGTACGTGATACCACAACACGTACACTGGTCAGGATCGATAGCATATGATCATGTCGACCTGATGTGTTTTAGTACCTCGCGGAAGAGTGAGCAGTAGTCGTGGTCGGAGAGGAGTGGCCGCGCGCACGTGGCGCAGGGGTAGGGCTCCGCGCTCGCTAATTCTCGACATGCGAGACGCTTACAGTTCAGTTGGATTAGCGAGCGTGTAGAAGGGGCATGGGCAACGATAGACTCGATTTCAATTCGAAGACCGCAAAGCGTGGGGTTCTGCACCATTCCGTGGGGTGCCGATTCTCGACATGCGAGACACTTATGGTTCGATTGGATTAGCGAGCGTGTAGAGGAGGCATGGGCAACAATATACTCGATTTCAATTCAGAGACCGAAAATGTAGAGGGGGCATGAGCAACGATAAACTCGATTTCAATTCATAGACCGAAAAGCGTGGAGTTCCACACCATTCTTAGCGGCGCTAATTCTCGACATGCGAGACATAAATGTAATACCGAGATGACCTATGCCTATGTCGTATTCAAATTAACATGAACAGTGACTAAAGTGTTGGCTGTGTTCAGGAACAGTGTGACGCGTGGACGCGGTGGCCATCTAGGGATTCGCTCCGCGTTCTAGGTATGTATGTATATGTATAGGCAATGTATCAAGTGCAAATCAACTAACCTGTGCAAATTTGGAAACTATCAATCAGGACCACTAGATGTTGATCCAATGGATGGGGTGAGAGGTGGGATATTTTTGCGCTTAAGCCCCCCACCCGCCGGCCTTTTTTTTGGCTTAAGTCCCCTCATCCCATCCATTGGATCAGCATCTAGTGGTCCTGATTGGTAGTTTCTAAGTTTGCACAGGTTAGTTTGTTTACACCTGATATGTTGCCATATGTATATATATAGACAATATATAAAAACTTGAAATGTTCTATACGGGGAAAAAATTCAAGCTAATGCATGGGCATGTCCTACGAAAAGAAAAAATAAAGCCAATGCACGATTGAAGCAAACGGTATAGTAACGGTGTTAACCTGATCTAGAGATCTTTTGTAATCCTTAACGGCCACCAACCGCGGTAAGCAAACGGCGTCCTCCTCCTCGATATCTCCGCGGCGGCCTCTGGCTTTTTCCGCGGAATTGCGCGGTGGGGACGGATTCCACGAGACCGCGACGCAACCGCCTCTCGCCGCTGGGCCCCACACCGCTCGGTGCCGTAGCCTCACGGGACTCTTTCTCCCTCCTCCCCCGTGTATAAATTGGCTTCATCCCCTCCCTGCCTCGTCCATCCAAATCCCAGTCCCCAATCCCATTGTCAGAGAAATTCATCGAAGCGAAGCTAATCCTCCCGATCCTCTCAAGGTACTGCGAGTTTCCGATTCCCCTCTCGACCCCCCCTCGTATGCTTTCCCTGTTTGTGTTCATCTTAGCGTTTGATTAGGTATGCTTTCCCTGTTCGTGTTCGTCGTAGTGTTTGATTAGGTCGTGTGAGGCGATGGCCTGCTCGCGTCCTTCGATCTGTAGTCGATTTGCGGGTCGTGGTGTAGATCTGCGGGCTGTGATGAAGGTATTTGGTGTGATCGTGCTCGCGTGATTCTGCGGGTTGGCTCGAGTAGATATGATGGTTGGTTCGTTTGCCGCTCTAGGGTTGGGCTGGGATGATGTTGCATGCGCCGTTGCGCGTGATCCCGCGGCAGGACTTGCGTTTGATTGCCAGATCTCGTTACGATTATTTGATTTGGTTTGGACTTTTTAGATCTGTAGAAGCTTACGTGCCAGATGCGCCTACTGCTCATATGCCTGATGATAATCATAGATGGCTGTGGAACTAACTAGTTGATTGCGGAGTCATGTATCAGCTACAGGTGTAGGGACTTGCGTCTAATTGTTCGGTCCTGTACTCATGTTGCAATTATGCGATTTAGTTTATATTGTTTGTTCCACTCATCTAGGCTGTAAAAGGGACACTGCTTAGATTGCTGTTTAATCTTTTTAGTAGATTATATTATATTGGTAACTTATTACCCTTATTACATGACATACGTGACTTCTGCTCATGCCTGATGATAATCATAGATCATTGTGGAATTAATTAGTTGATTGTTGAATCATGTTTCATGTACATACCACGGCACAATTGCTTAGTTCCTTAACAAATGCAAATTTTACTGATCCATGTATGATTTGCGTGGTTCTCTAATGTGAAATACTATAGCTACTTGTTAGTAAGAATCAGGTTCGTATGCTTAATGCTGTATGTGCCTTCTGCTTATGCCTGATGATAATCATATATCACTGGAATTAATTAGTTGATCGTTTAATCATATATCAAGTACATACCATGGCACAATTTTTAGTCACTTCCTTAACCCATGCAGGTTGAACTGGTCCCTGCATGTTTTGCTAAATTGTTCTATTCTGATTAGACCATATATCATGCATTTTTTTTTGGTAATGGTTCTCTTATTTTAAATGCTATATAGTTCTGGTACTTGTTAGAAAGATCTGCTTCATAGTTTAGTTGCCTATCCCTCGAATTAGGATGCTGAGCAGCTGATCCTATAACTTTGTTTCATGTTTCAATTCTTTTCTGTTCAACAGTTGATCAGTTTTTGAATTCTTTTCTGTTCAACAGTTGATCAGTTTTTGTTAGATTCATAGTAACTTATGGTCGCTTACTCTTCTGGTCCTCAATGCTTGCAGATGCAGATCTTCGTTAAGACCCTCACTGGCAAGACCATCACCCTTGAGGTTGAGTCCTCAGACACTATTGACAATGTCAAGGCTAAGATCCAGGACAAGGAAGGCATTCCTCCGGATCAGCAGAGGCTGATCTTTGCTGGCAAGCAGCTCGAGGATGGCCGTACCCTAGCTGACTACAACATCCAGAAGGAGTCCACCCTCCACCTGGTGCTCAGGCTCAGGGGAGGCATGCAGATCTTCGTCAAGACCCTCACTGGCAAGACTATCACGCTTGAGGTCGAGTCTTCTGACACGATCGACAACGTGAAGGCCAAGATCCAGGACAAGGAGGGAATCCCCCCGGACCAGCAGCGTCTCATCTTCGCTGGCAAGCAGCTTGAGGATGGCCGAACCCTCGCTGACTACAACATCCAGAAGGAGTCGACTCTCCACCTTGTGCTCAGGCTCAGGGGTGGCATGCAGATCTTCGTCAAGACCCTCACTGGCAAGACCATCACCTTGGAGGTGGAGTCCTCGGACACTATTGACAATGTGAAGGCAAAGATCCAGGACAAGGAGGGCATCCCCCCGGACCAGCAGCGTCTCATCTTCGCCGGCAAGCAGCTTGAGGATGGCCGCACCCTTGCTGACTACAACATCCAGAAGGAGTCCACCCTTCACCTGGTGCTCCGCCTTCGTGGTGGTATGCAGATCTTCGTCAAGACCCTCACCGGCAAGACCATCACCCTGGAGGTGGAGTCCTCTGACACCATCGACAATGTGAAGGCGAAGATCCAGGATAAGGAGGGCATCCCCCCGGACCAGCAGCGTCTCATCTTCGCTGGCAAGCAGCTTGAGGATGGCCGCACCCTGGCAGACTACAACATCCAGAAGGAGTCCACCCTTCACCTGGTGCTCCGCCTTCGCGGTGGTATGCAGATCTTCGTCAAGACCCTCACCGGCAAGACCATCACCCTGGAGGTGGAGTCCTCTGACACCATCGACAATGTGAAGGCGAAGATCCAGGACAAGGAGGGCATCCCCCCGGACCAGCAGCGTCTCATCTTCGCCGGCAAGCAGCTGGAGGATGGCCGCACCCTGGCAGACTACAACATCCAGAAGGAGTCCACTCTCCACCTGGTGCTCCGTCTCCGTGGTGGCCAGTAAGTCCTGGACCATGAGCAGCTGTCCTTCCAGGGTTCACAAGTCTGGTGCCTTCTGTCCCTCCGATGGAGATTATCTGTATGTCGTGGTCGTGTCCTGATCGAGTCGTCGTTGAGTCCCTATGTTTTTCTTCAAGAAATTTGAGTCCTATGTCAGTCTGGTTGTGTTTGTGGACATTTCTGCTGCCGCGCAGCAGTTTGGTTGGAACTGTGCAATGAAATAATTGAACCCTGGTTTCTGGTTATATGTGTGTTAGCTAATGTTTTTGAAGTGGAATCTCTAATCTTCTATTGCGTTGCTACTACAATTCTGCTTGTGTTTTGATGGTTCTTGGTTTCTGTTGGTTGGTTCAGAGGAAGTTCTGCTTCAACAGACTAAGATGCAGTTGAACTTTGGGTCATTCTTCAACTGGTCATGCTGGTTGCTCTGGTTTTCTAGATTTCATTTGTGCTGGTTGAGTGAGAGAAACCACCGGTGTGTTTTGTGCTGCTCGAGTGATCGTCAAAAACCACCGGTGTTCACATCTAAAAAGGTTTAGATCTCCCGTTTAATTCAAAAAAAAAGGTTCTGTGTACTTGCATTTAGTTGGGTGGTTGATGCTGCAAAGAGTAACTTTCAAGAGTAATAATCTTTGGTGACTACTCTGTTTCAACTGATCAATCCCTAGGAAAGGTACACCTTTACTTAGGGAAGAAATTCTTAGAACCTTGCACTTTGTTTCAACTGATAATAATAGTATATTTTATTAGATGAAAAATATTCAGATATATTAGACACCGGATGTCATCCTTACAAACCTCTGTCATGGTCCTGCAAAAATGTTTGCCAGCTCCAGTGGCTTCCTGATCAATCTGTGGAGTGCCTGTTAATCGGCTGCAATTTTTGCTGAGCACTGTATATATGTAGTAGTACTATGCCACCAATTCGATTTTGACACAGCACTATTGGTCCACCAATTCGATTCTGACACAGCAATGCATAATTTGAAAACGTGTTGCTCCATTTTGCAAGGCTACAAATTTAGATCATGTTTAGCATTCTGTGGGATACAATACATGGATATCCAACAAACTTTGTATGTCAGAGAAAAAAAAGAGTTTATTTTCAAAACTAACATTTTTAAAGCCTTCTATGAATTTCAAACTTTCAGCATTTGGGATCAAGACGAGTGCCTCGAACAAGAGTGCACTATTTCTCCAAAATAATCTACTACAGAGTTTTTTTTTTTTAAAAAACTTATACTTAAACAGATAAATCAGACCTCTTCTGCTCCATATCACCTTGACAAATCAAAGCAGCAGCACCAATGAAGCAAAGGGTATTATTATTGAGGTAAATATAAGATCTCGTTTACTGAAAAAGACCGAGTGTTTACTTATGAAAAAGACCGAGTGTTTACCTAAACTACCATTTTGCTTTGATAGCAGCATACATGACTTCTGCGCACATCCTACAGATATAATGTTTATGCAATGGAAAATTGAAAATGCATTAGAATTAGAATATAGTTGTAGCAAAGGCAACGATTCTTCTTATATTTGTAACCAAACAATCTATTTCTGACACCCATTGTTTATCTCCTCTTACTTTAGGAACCTTTTATGAAGACAATTTCGCAAACTGAAGTAATGAAGACAATTTCTTAAAACTTTTGAGTTACAATCCTCTATTACATATAGAAGGAAACATTTCCTTGTTCTTTTGCTGAAAGACATATGACATATGATAGACTCTATAGATCTAGAACTGCTATGAAAAACTGGAGCCTTTATCCAATCTACTAATACAGGAATTATAGTAATTTTAGTGTACATTGTAATGCAGCTAGTCATATATAAGACCAAAAAAAAAAGAACTCTGGACATGATACTTATGCAGGACATTCTCAAAATCGCATAGACTTGTCAATTATCTTTTTGGAGCATGTCTCATAGCTAACTTGTTTACGCCGACAGCAATATCAACATTTCTTAACCGAAAAGCACCAAGAAAATGAACATGTTTTAACCGAAAAGCACCAAGAAAGCTGTACTCCACAGCCCACTCGTCTCTCTGCCTGCTCCTTGTCAAGAGACAGAGGGCTGTCTGAAATTCTCCCTAATACCTTTCCTTGAGATAGAATAGTCTACATCTACTTCTGGAAGGACCAAACACACAAATTCAATCCATCAGAGAACTGTTTTTGTATCAAACAATGTGGCATCTTGATCAACAGGACAAGGAAAATTAAGCATGGATCTACAATGCATTGGACAATTTAATTAAGCGGAGAGACTAGACTAATAATCTAAGCTAACTCTTCAAAAAAAAAAAGACAATGTGTGCATACAGAATTATATCCTCTCGAAATACATGTACAACTAGCAGAGTAGTCCTTGCAAGAAAATACACAAGGACCTCATCTAAACAGGTTTAGATCCCCCGTTTGATTTCGGGTTCCATCTTCTCAGTTCTGTATACTGCAAAAGAGTAACTTTCAAGAGTCGTAATCTTTGGTAACTACTCTGTTTCAACTGATCAATCCCTAGGAAAGGTACACCTTTACTTAGGTAAGAAATTCTTAGAACCTTGCACTCTGTTTCAACTGATAAGAAATTCTTAGAACCTTGCACTCTGTTTCAACTGATAAATAGTATACTTTAGATAAAAAATATTCAGATATGTTAGACACCGGAAGTCATCCTTAGAACCTCTGTCATGGTCCTGCAGAAATGTTTGCCAGCTCCAGTGGCTTCCTGATCAATCTCTCCTACACACGTTGTAATTTTTGCTGATTAGTACTTTAGTAGTACTATTGGGCCACCAATTCGATTCTGACATAGCACTGCATAATTTGAAAATGTGTTGCTCCATTTTGCAAGGCTACAAATTTAGAGCATGTTTAGCATTCTGTGGGATACAGTACATGGATATGGAACAAACTCGATGTCAGAGGGGAAAAAATAGTTTATTTTCAAAACTAACATTTATTAAAGTCTTCTATGAACTTTAAACTTTCAGCATTTGGGATCAAGATGAGTGCTCGAACAAGAGTGCACAATTTCTCCAAAATACTCTACTACGGAGTTTTTTTTAAAAAAAAAACTTATACTTAACTGATAACGAATCAGACCTCTTCTGGTCCATATATCACCTTGACAAATCAAAGAAGCAGCACCAATGAAGCAAAGGGTATCATTGAGGTAAATATAAGATCTCTTTACCTGAAAAATACCAAGTGTACAGCTATGATCTTCCTATTACATTATAATATGTTAGCCCACCGTACACTAAACAACCATTTTGCTTTGATAGCAGCATACATGACTTCTGCGCACATCCTATAGATATTATATTTAGGCAATGAAAATTTGAAAATACAGCAGTATTCGAATTAGAATATAGTGGTAGCAAAGGCTACGATTTTTCTTATATTTATAACCAAACAATCTATTTCTGACATACATTGTTTATCTCTTCTTACTTTAGGAACCTTTTATGAAGACAATTTCGGCAAACTGAAGTAGTGATGACAATTTCTTAAAGCTTTTGAGTTGCACAATCCTCTATTACATATAGAAGGAAACATTTCCTTGTTCTTTTGCTGAAAAAGACATATGACATATCATAGACTCTGTAGTTTGAATAAGAGCTCATGAACTAAAATGAAAAACTGGAGCCCTTATCCAATCTACTAATATAGGAATTATAGTTAAGAGTATTTTAGTGTAAATTATAATGCAGCTAGTCATATATAAGACCAAATAAAAAGAAAAAAAACTCTGGACATGATCCTTATGCAGGACGTTATCAAGCTCGCATAGACTTGTCAAGTATCTTTTTGGAGCATGTCTCATGGTTAACTTTTTTACGCCGACAGCAAAATTACCATGTTTTAACCGAAAAAAGCACCAAGACAGTTCGATGCGCTACTCCACCCGTCTCTCTGCCTGCTGCTTGTCAAGAGACTGAGGGGGCTGTTTGAAACTCTCCCTAATGCCTTTAGATTAAACTGTGGCCGTACTGGGCACGGACCTTGTGTCATCGTTGTTAATAAGGGGTAGAGTACAAGTAGTTGCTGGATATTATTCCTTGGGATAGAATAATCTACATCTACTTCTGGAAGGACCAAACACACAAATTCAATCCATCAGAGAACTGTTTTTTAAGGGTAAAGTACACTTTCCAACTCTCAACTCGCGCGGAAGTTTAATTTTCAACCTTCAATTATGAAACCGGTTAAGAAACACCCTCCAACTATCAAAACCGGACAAATTTGGTCATCGGCTGGTTTCAAAAGCGGTTTTCTATTTTCGGGAGGCGCCGAAATTTTATATTATTTTTTTGAGCATCTCAACGTCCTCAAATGAAAAAACTCAAAACTACAAAGTTGTAATCTCATTGAGAGCTACAAGTTTGGTATAAAAATTATTTTCATTTAACTCCATACAAATAATATATCAGTGCTCTAATGCGGCAAGCGCTAGTAGGCGATTATTATGGTGCTGAAATTTTATATTATTATTTTTCGAGCATCTTACTGTCCTCAAATGAAAAAATTAAAACTATAAAGTCGTAGATCTCATCGAGGTTTACAATTTATATATAAAAATTATCTTCATCCAACATCGTATTGAAGGGTTATGATTTTTCGAAATTTGAGTCTTGTCACGCCACAAAACAATACTGTATTCATCGAGCAACGCGACATCTCTGATCATCACGACAAGGAAAAGTAAGCATGGATCTACAGTGCATTGGACAATTTAATCAAGCTGAGAGACTAGACTAATAATCTAAGCTAACTCTTCAAAATAAAAAAAAAGACAATGTGTGAATACAGAATTATATCATCTCAAAAATTCATGTACAACTAGCAGAGTAGTCCTTGCAAGAAATACACAAAGACCTCATTTTTGTGGGTCTTTGTGTTTGGAGTTGACTAGCAAGAGAAAGGTAGGTTGGCTTTGTGATGTTGGGGAAATCTAGTCTGTGTGTAATTGCCTAGTTGAGTTCAGTTCTTG